TGGAGGGCCTTGTGGAGGCTCCAGTGATGCCACTCTATGTCCTGGTCATACTTGTTCTCTTCATGTAACCAGGGGGTCCTTCCTCTGCACCCCACTGGGCTTGGCTCCATTTTTCCATTTAGCTGTGCTTTGAGTTCTTAAGTGCTAAGCAGCAAGTGGCCCATCCCAGGAGCAGGGGCAGGTCAGATCGGGGTGAGGAACAGCCAGTGCCACCCTCCTTCCCTCCACCTTGCTCACTGCAGCTTGCTGAGCCCAGGAAGTCTTAAGAGACCCACTCCTGAGGTTCTGTTTTCCTGCCTGCCACCTCTGTGCACATGGGACATGAAGGGGCCAGGGAGACAGCCTGGTCTACACCTGGGAGCCACAGAGGACAGATTCATCTGGCTGACAGTTCAATCTCACCACCTGGACCTGGCTTTGCCGTGCTGCGCACTGGGCTGGCTTGGAGCCCGGCACGGGGCGGCCGGGAGAGGAGAGTGAAGCCATAGACTCCAAGCCCAGCTGCAGGGCCATGTGGGAGTCTGGGAGGCAAGCCTCCTACAGAGAAGCAGGGAGCCAGCGAGGGCAGGGATAGGCTCTGCAGAGGCAGGGTGTCTGGCTGTGCCACAGACACAGCTTCAGACGTGTCACTTGCCCTCCCTGGGCTTCTGTTGTCTCCCTGAGTTCAGGACCATTCTCAGAGGAGTGAGTTAAGAGAATCAAAAACTGTCAGAGATGATGCACCCTGTAATGACAAAATGCCACGTGCCCTATAAACCACAAAGCCCAGTGTAATCTGTAACACACCTGGTCAACTACAGAGCACCTTCCAAAGTATCATGAGATCTATACAAAACAAAGTCCTTTGTCCAGGGCCACATGCCCAATAAATCACCAAGGGCTTGGGAAGCTGTGATGTGCCCTGTAACCTGTAAAATGTCTTATAAACTGTCCTCGACCCAAACTGGCAGATGGACCTGCTCCAAAGAACTTTGTAAGCTGGAAACCCTGCAAAGTGCTTTATAAACTGCAATGTATCCCATACCCTGTGAAGCACTTTGTACACCACAAGATACTCTGTAAATAACAAAGCACCTTATAAACTGTTAAGTGCTCTGTTAAGTGCAGAGTACATTACAAACAGGAAAGGCAGAGTACTATGTAAATACCCATGTCATACTCAATAAGCTTTGTATACTGTGAAGTGCCATTCATATATGATGGGAAGCTATTCACAGTCGTGCCACTTGGTCACACAGCTACCTCTTGCCCACCTTAGAAGAGGCAGGAGGAGGCTGAGAGGGAGCTGAGATGGGGGGCAGGAAGGAAGGAGAGGTTCAGGGTGCATGGTCAGGAGCTGTGGGGGGGGGCCCACGCCCACCTCAGCTGCCCCTGCCAGGAACCCTCTAAGGATGGGGATGGGGAGAGTGGGCCCAGTGCCCAGAGAGGAGCCGCCTGCACGAGGCCCTCCTGCAGTGACGCTGCCCTGAGGCAGGACACTCCACCCTCACCAGCCGCTCACACCAGCATCCTCCCTCAACCCAAAGAAGCCCACCTACAGCCTGCTTTCAAAGGCCTTGCTCACCCTGTCCTCAGGTACCTTACAGCTCCTGCAAAAGAGGCATCAAACCAGACACTGGGAGGAGGGTGTGAGCTCTGTGTGTGCACAGGGACAGGAATGGCAGAGCTGGCCCTGGAACCTCTCTCTCTGTCCTAAGTTGCCTCCCCAGCTCCACACCCAGGCAGCTGTCCCCACCCAGCCATGGTGATTCTCATGCAAGACTCTGGTTCAGCTCCAGGCTTTTGTGGCACTGTGAGCCTGTTGCTGACCTGCTGTGGGTCAAACCGCTTTGTTAGTGAACCCAGGGACATATGAAGTATAGGCCAGGCCTGGCTGGTGAGATAAGACCTGTCAGCCTGCAGAGAGGAGAAAGTAGAAACCTGCCAGAGTGAGGTCATGCTCTTCCTGTGTTGGGCTGTCACCGTGCACCCGTTCATGAGGAGTCCTCGCCAGACCTGTCTCAGCAGGGGCCTCTGCTGACGGACAAGCAGGCACTAGATGAGCAGGGGAAGAGCGTGTTGTGGAAGGCTTCGTGCCTTGACCATACAGGGAGTGGAGAGTCATTCAAGGCTCTGAAGGTGAGGAGAAGCTTGATTAGAACTGGTCTTTACTCATGAATCAAGAAGGGACTGGGTCAGAACTAACCAGGATGTCATAAGCTTGTCACAGGAGCACCCCGTATGGATAAAGGTGGTTTCAAAGCCAGCTCCCTCCTGCACTGGAAACATGCATGGATGGACTGAGTGGGGAGAAGTTACCTTCCTGAAGTGTGGACCAGCACCTCAGACACGGGGGGCTGACCTTGATGCCTTGGAGAGGTGGGCTCCATGTCTGATTAGGGCAGCATTTGCTGACACTTCCCTTTCACTGAAGTCAGTAGAAAGGTTTTTGAAATTGCTGGAGGGGCTGGCCTATTGCAACCCCGCAGATGCCTTTTCTACTTAGCGCTGATAAAAGATGGTCTTGGCATCCATCTCTAGATCATTCTTCCAGGGAAGCACCTGGCCTACTGTCAACAGGAACAGGAATGTTCCTGTCACCCCAGCAAGATGGCTGTGTGGCCCCACTGCCCTAGTCACTCACATTCCTCTGATGTCCCTGTCACTTGATTCATTTGCTCATTACTAACTCATACCTATGAGAGCCATACCAAGTTGCTAAAATCAAACCCTGTTGACTGGAGGCAGATTCATAGAGCTGTGAACCCTGCACCATTATAAGCAGTGGAGGAAATCCCTCCTTCTGTGAGAGTTCAGGGAAGGCTTCCCAGAGGCGGTGACATGGGAATCTGGCCTTGAAGGATGAATAGAAGGCCCAGTGAAAAGGGAGAAGGAAAAGATGCTCCTAGAAAGGGGCTAAGGTGGGCAAAGGCAAGGCATGCTTCGGGGACCGGGGAACATGATAGCTGTGGATTTAGTGGGGCCACCAACAGGGCCGTTAGAAAAATATACTGGCGGTTTAGGGTTAAGTTCTGATGGGCCTTGAGCTGGGCATCACCCCAGGGAGCTGGGTTTTGCCCCTGCAGAAGTTGAGGAGCCACAGATTAAGTGAGAGACAAGGATGGAGCAAGAAGGATGAGCCCACAGACAGCAGCATGGGCAGAGTGGGAACTGGTGAGGCTGGAAGCAGGAGGCCAGGGGGCGGCCAGTGCCCTGTAGGGGCCACTTCAGGCTTGAGGAAATGGTTGTAAGCTCAGGGCCTGTAGTGTTTATTCCTGGAATCTAGCTCAGGGAGTAGGTTCTCAGTAAATACTCATCACGTGAGTGAGTGAATGAATGATGAAATTTGGGGAACCACGCCTCTTTCTGGACTTTGCCCCTACACTCCCCAAATATCCTATGCCACCCATAGAGCCCAGGGACTTCCTCCCCATCCACCCTTGGCTGGGGCCCTGCAGGAGCGCATCATCCTGGCTCTGCCCCTGCACCTGGCTTACCCCTACCCTTGGGAGTAGCAGAGATGGGTGCCAGCACCCTGAGGTTCAGCCCAGACACCGCCACAAGCCACCTGGAGACCTGGCTTCTCAAAAGACCTCAGGCAGGGCCTTGCCCTTGTTTCCACTGCTGTGATGTGAGGGATCCCTTGACTTCGTGTGTGCTCTCGTGGGGCAGGGTGGCAGAGTGAGCTGTGAAGGGGGGCACTAGCTTGCTGAATGCAAGCATTGGGAACATACCCAGATTCTGTGACCCTGTTTTGGTATTTTTTCATTTTTTTTCTGAGGCCCTTCCAATGATGGAAGAGGCCCCCCTACCCCCTCTCCCATTGTCTCCTATCTCGGGGATGCTCATCCCTTAAGCTAGACATACAGTGGGGACTCAATAAACTTGAAGAGACAATGAGTGAAAGGGCCAGTCCTGTCTCTGCTGTGAACCTGCTATGTGCCCTCCAGTCCCCCTCTCTGGTAAAATGGGGAGCCTGAACTTCCTGTCTCCCAGGGCTGCTGTGATGCTCAAAACCATCTTGTGACCCAGAAAGTGTGTGTAGACAGTGAACGGCTGGAAAGCCTTGAGCTGTGGTGTGAAGGTGAGGAGTGGCCACATGCGTTCATGTTTCCTGGGGTGGTGTAACACTGTTCCACCAATGGAGTGGCTTCAACAGAAGTTTATCGGTTTGTGGTTCAGGGGCCAGAAGTCCCAGATGAAGGTACGGGCAGGCCAGGCCGCCTCTGAGGGTACAGGGAAGGATCTAGTCCAGCCTCAAGTGTCTGCTCACGCCTAGGCTGTGGCAGCTCCACTCACCTTCATGTGGCCTTCCCCTGCGGGCCTGTCTGTGTCCATGTGTCCCCCTTTTCACAAGGATGACAGCTGTAGTAGCGTCAGGCCCACCCTGCTCTGGTGTGACTTCTTAACTCATTATGTCTACAATGACCCTGTTTCCTACTTTCTGGGGTACTACAGGTTAGGACTCCTGTACATGGATTTGTGGGGGACACAAGCCATAACACTGTACACAATGACTTATTTTCTTGGCTTCTTGTCGTCTCTCCTTTGCTCACTGGTCAGTGAGTGTACAGCTCAGTTATGGTCAGTCTGAGTGTACAGGTGTCGTGGACTTGCAGTTGGAGGGGTGGGGGGTAGGGGGGAAAGAAGGGGAAGGGTCTAATCAATGAACATGTATGAATGACCCGTGGACATGGACAAGAGGGTGGAGATTGACTGGGGGTGGGGCATAGGCAGGGCAGGGAAGAGCAGTGGGGGAAAATTGGGACAATTGTAATAGGACAACAAAATAAATAAGATAAAATTAAATAAGGAAGCCAGGGAAGCCAACCTGCAGTAAGTCTCTGGGTCCCCTGGGGGTCAAGTTCTCCCTTCACCCACCCTCAGGAGAAGCACCTGAGCCCATTTCTCCAGGAACCGGGACACTGAAGGGGCAGCTCTGAGTGAGGGCTGCTTGCCCCAGGCCCCCTCTGACTGTGCCTTCGCTGAGCACCGGCCTCCCCTCCCTGCTTTCCCCACAGCATTTCAACCTCCATCCTGGCCCTGGATGACTCTGACTCAGCCTCAGCCGAGAGAACAATGATGGATGACGTTCAAGGAAGCGCCTCCTCGTTGACCATCGGGGACGAGATAGACGAGTCTCCCCCTGAAACTGAAAAGAAGTAAGTGGCCTCCCTGGCCCGGGGCTGAGGGACCCTCCTGTGGTCAGCAGAATAGGCATGGTTCGCAGAGGCCACAAAGGGCTAAGTGACCTTGGGCAGTCACATGCCCCTGGGCATGGTTCATCTCCAGCAATCCTTGATCTCTGGCCTGTTTTAGCAACGTGCTGCCCAGCTGCTCTCCTCAGAGCTGCTGGTAGTGGTCTGGTTGGTGGAGATTGAGGCCTTTAAACATTGTGGAGAAACCCCCCAGCCCAAACCTGTCTGTCTGTCTGAGAAAGGCGGGCACTACCGGCCGTGTCCCTGTGAGCGACTTCCTAGGCCTGTCAAGTCTATAAACTTAGCCGTGTCACTGGGAAGCGAATCGTGTTCTGCAAGAGCATGTTCTGAAATCACATGTTTCTCATGAAGATAGAAAAGGCAAAACTGTGAGCATCTCAAAAAGTCACAGGTGCCATTGGGACCCCCAGATTGCAGCAACACCAAGAGGACCTCAGCTGTGCAAGGTGGAAGGCCACGCCCACCTCGGCCTGGCCAGGGCAGGGCTTGGCACTGCCCAGACCAACCCTCTCTGCCCATTTCCCAACATTTGCTTCTCTCTACTTTGATTTTTAGGATGACACATCCTGATGAGGATCTTCCTCCTATCAGCAAAGGCAGGAGGGGCAGTAAGAAGCTAAATGATGGGAAGAAACTGCTCCCCAAGAAGTAATGCAGGCCCCTTGACCACCAGAGTGCCAGGCCTGGACATAGCTCATCCCTCACCCACTCAGCCATCCTGCCCTGCCTCCCCAGCCCCCGCCCCCTTCTCGGAGCCTCTGTGTAATAAACAAGCATGCCGGCAGCATCCGGGTGAGGCTGTGGGCTAGGCTGGCTCTACAAGGCCAGAGGCCCCCCAGCAGCCCTGTTACAGGCCCAGTCCTTGGACACTTGGTTGCTCTGACCCAGAGCTGCTTCTGTGGCCTGTGAAGTCAGCCCAGGATTCTTCCACTCCCAGGGAAATGAACCTGACAAGGGGACCCAGCCAAATGAGACATTAGCCATGGGGGAGATCTGTGATGGAACTAAACTATGCTCTCCTCTCCTTCACTGGGTGGGAATGGCTTGGGTTCTGGCCCAAGTGCAAAACAGAGTGTGAGAGAGTAGAGGGAGAAGGGAGACAGGAAGCTGAGGGAGAAGAGACTAAGGGAAAGATGGGGAGGCTGATGATGAGAAGGGAGAAAACAGGAAGGAGAGGGGAGGGGCAGAGGGAGGGGAAGTCGAGAAGGAAGAAATGAGGGAGGAGGGAGAGAAAAGGGCAGGTGGATAGAGAAAGAAAGGGCCATGGAGTGGGACAGAAGAGGTGGTGACAAGCCACACCGAGGGACCCTTTGGTGGCACTGGAAAGCCAGAGCCCCTGTGCGCTAATGTCCCCGTTTAGCCCACGCTCATCTGCCTCCCTGGTGGCAGCTGAGAAGGGTAGAGAGCACGCCAGCTCTGGCCCTGCTTGTCTGCAGCTCCCAGGGCCATGCTTCCCGGGAGCAGGGTGTGGACCCCAGGGGGTCTGCCTTGCTCTCCAAGCCTGGAATAGAGTCTACAGGCCCTGATCTGTGGGTGGCGTTCAGTGGCATGCTCTATACTTCACAACTTGTGCTCCCTCTGTAATAGATGCTTTTTTAATCTGAATTTCTTGAGGTTCAATTTTTATCACTTGTATCATTCAAAGGCTTTTAATGGGTTATACATTTGTCCCCTAGTAATTGATTCAAAATGACATGCTATGTGCTTAAGCCTACAACCTTTGACCTAAGGGGCCCTGATGTATGTTAGGGGTCTTGGGCATCCCGGCACTCTCCCCTCCTCCTTGTCTGAACAAAGAACACACAAAAATTGTTCCCCCTCTGCCCAGGTCAGCCTTCACATACTAGGTTTACACATAGGCAGGGTGGGGCAAAAGTAGGTTTACAGTGGTTTGTGTGACAATAATGCAGTAATTAATAAATAATACTACAAGAATACACTGTGTTTACATGTACTCACAATTGTAAACCCACTTTGGCCCCACCCTGTCTATACGCTGTCTATGAGGTCTGGAAATGCAGCGACTAGCGCCCCCTGATGCCCTGCAGAAGCAAACACAAATCTCCTCTGAAGTTCACTCGCCACGTAGACCTCACAGGATTCCCACAGAGAGAGCCCAGGTGAATATTAGCTCACAATCCAAAATTTAAAAATGTAAGCCAAAGTGAATGAAAACAAATATCAAATGTTAAATCAGACATAAAGACTCTGGATTTTTTAATTGTCATACAATATAAAACAAATATGTTTTAAATGTTTAAATAAGCAAAGGAAAGATTTGAAAACCTAAGCAAGGAGGAAGGCATCATCAAACAAACAAAAAAAAATACGGACTGAATTTTGCTTCCGGACATGTTGGAGTAACTGGTACTGGGGTTTCATCCTGACACAAACACCCAGGACAAGAGAAACAGTGTGTGTTCTACAATCACTCCCAGCTTTCTGCCAGACATACTTTCTGGATCATGGTGCAGGGAAAGAGAACGCAGGCACAGTATAGAGTGTTGCTGAACTGGGGGGAGAGATCAGAGTTAGAGAGTCGGCAGTGAGCAGAATCCGTGAGGCAGAGCATCAGTGAAGAGGGAGCTGTGCAGAAAGAACTCTAGGAATTTCCCCAGGGTTCTCTCTGAGTCCTCGGCTAGATGCTCCGCTGCACGTTGAAGGTGTGGCTTTGTAAGGTCTGGTAAAGAACTAGATTTTCACAGGTAAAAGTATGAAGTTGGACCCTTCCCTAACACCATATACAAAGATTAACTTCAAATGGATCAAGAACCAAATGTAAGACCTAAAGCAATAAAACACATAGAGCAAAGCATAGGACAAAAGCATTTTGACATTGGATTTGGCAGTGATTGTATGGATATGATACCAGAGGCACGGGCAACAAAAGGAAAAAAAGAGACAAATTAGACTTCATGAAAAAAATTTAATGTGTGCACCAAAAGACACTATCCAAAGAATGAAAAGGCAACTCACAAAATGGGCAAAAATATTCTAAAATCATATATTGATAAGGGATTAATGTCCAGAATATATAGAGAACTGCTAAAACAACCTAATGCAAAATTGGGCAAAGGACTTGAATAGTCATTTTTCCAAAGGAGATATACAAATGGTCAATAAACATGTGAGAAAATTCTCAGTGTCACTAATCATCAGAGAAATGCAAATCAAAACCACAGTGAGGTACCGCCTCACACCCATTAGGATGACTTCAATCAAACAGAAAACAAGAAGTGCTGGTAAGGATGTGGAGAAAAATGGGACCCTTGTGCACTGCTGGTAGACATGTAAGTTGGTAGAGCTGCTGTGGAAACAACTATGGAGGTTCCTCAAAAGATTAAAAATAACAATTAGTATATGACCCAGCAATTTCACCTCTAAGTATATACCCGAAAGAATTGAACAAGGTCTCAAGGAGCTGTTTGTACACCCATGTTCATATCAATATTATTTGCAATGGCTAAAACATGCAAGCAAACTCTATTCATCAGCAGATGAATGGGTAAGTGAAATATGGTAGATACATACAATAATATTGAGCCTTAAAAAGAAGTAAAATTCTGCAAGATGCTACAACATGGATTAGCCTCGAGGACATTAAGCTGAGTGAAATGAGCCATTCACAAAAAGATCAATACTGTATGATTCCACTTACATAACGTTCCCCAGAGAAGTCAAAATCATAGAAAGTAGAATGGTCGTTGCTAGGGACTGGTGAGGAGGGAGGAGAAATTGTTTAATGGGTATGGAGTTTTAATTTTACGAAGTGAAAAGAACTATGCGGATTGACGCTGGTAGTGGCTGCAGAACAATGTGAATGTATTGGGTTGGCCAGCAAGCCCATATGTTGTTTTCCATAAAGGACGCATCTTTCATTCTCACCAATAACTTCGCTGATTTGGATATATTGAGTATGTCGGCTATCTCCTGCAGGGTAGAATGTTAATTGTTCTCAATTAGTGTCTCAGTTTGATCGCTGTCTACTTCAGCTGGTCTACCCGACAGTGGAGCATCATCCAGCGAGAAAATCTCCAGCACAAAACTTTGCAAACCACTTCTGGCACATTTGATCAATCACAGCACCTGCGCCACACACTGCATACATTTTTAGTTTGCATTTCAGTTGCATTTTTACCTTTCTTGAAATGATAAAGCATAATATGCCAAAATGTTGCGTATTTTTCTATCTTCAATATTGAAATGGCTACCCCAAAATTCACCAATTTTGATAAGTTTTTTTAAATGCACACTGATGTAACAGGTGTCACAATACAATCTAACAAAACTGTTTCAAATTAAGTTAGAAACAACTGGAGCACTATTAGAGCCATCTTATGGAGAAAAGTAAATGAACTTTTTGGCCAACCCAACCTTTAAACCAGTTAACTGTACACTTAAAAATGCCTATGATGGCAAATTTTATGTTATTTATATCTTACCTTTTAAAAAAGCAACAACAACAACTAAAGAAACCTAAAGCAAATATTTTTCTTAATGGAGATGCTGTAAGTATATTCTGCTAAAGGAACAAGATGAGGGTAACACTGCCAACAGCAGCACTATCCAAAATATATTGGAAATCCTGAACTCTATATGGAAAGAAAAAGAAATAAGAGCATCTCAGTGAATTTCGTGTGTTATCCTGAAATACCACAGACGGATAGTTTAAACAACAGAAATATGCTTCTCACTGTCAGGAGCCTGGAAGGTGACGGTCCGAGTGCCAGCATGGTCAGGCTTTGGGTGAGGACCCTCTTCCTGGGCGTGGCCTTCCTCCTGGGTTTGGCTTTCCTTGGTGTGTGGTCACACGGAGAGATCTGTCACTGCCTCTTTGTATCTGCGCACCAATCTCATCATGGGGGCTCCACTCTCATGACCCCGTCTCACGTGATCACCTCCCAAAGACTCCACCTCCAAATACCACCCCACTGGGGGTTAGGGCTTCAGCCTAGGGACTTGGCACTGGGGACAAACACACGAATGTTCAGCCCATTACAGGGAGAGAGAAGGATGTGGAAAGACATGATAATAAAATTGTCAGTTTGTGGTGATTAATCAGCTATCTAGAAAAATCAACCAAGAATCAATAAAGAAACTATTAGACCTAATATGGATTTAACAAGGTGCTGGACACAAGAACAACGTGTGAAGACAGTTTCACAGTGAGAAGCAGTGGGCCAGGCTGCACGCACAGTGACAGGGAGACCTAAACACCCGGCACGAGTGGATGAGGGACTCTGTAACACAGTTGCTTTAGTGCCCAGGAGTGAACTGAGAAGAAAGACAGACCCAGTGCTTGCCAGAGGGAGGATGGGGCCTAGTGTGGGGCCTCTGTGCTGAGAGCTCAGGAGGTCTCAGGAAGATGCAGAATAATCCGAGGCCCCTGTTGCTGAGGCCCCTGACAGCCCTCACCCAGAACTCACAAGTATCTTTCCTCCCCAAAATCAAAACCTGCCTCTTCCTGCACCCCTCCTCCCTACCAAGCCTTGAGACTGTGGGCAAGTGACTCGGTGTCTGGGTGTCCACATCCTCCTCTGTGAAGTGAGGATGACATGACGACAGTTACAACCTCCCAGGGACGTGGGTGGATTGAATATGGTACTGCAGAGGAAGGACTAAGCTCATGCTCAGTAATTATGGATGAAAAGAACTATTTATTAATAAAGCAGTTAAGGAATCCCCCCACCCAACACCAACCTCCATCGCAGCAAGGCCCGCCTGCTGCTGGCTGCCTTCCTGTCTTCAGCTCCATCAAGGGTTAAGGAGCTTGGCTGCCCGCGCAGGAGGAGCAGGAATGAAGTAGTGGTGCTGGCAGCAGCGTCTCCCTATCTGTGAGCAATCTCCTCCGGCCCCCAGCTCCCGTCTCAGAAATGAAAGCCCCTCTCCTAGGCTGAAGCTCTGCTGGCTGCATCATAATGACTCCTGGACAAAGAGATTGGGCCTTCCCTCCCCTATGGCACTGGGCTCTCACCTCCCCAGGTCTCTGGGATGCAGGGGCCCCTGAGCTGCCCTGGAGCTGCCAGTTCACATGTGGGAGAGAGATTGGGTCCTTTTAGCTCCTGGTCCTGTGAGGCCGGAGGAAGGGGAAGTGAGGTGAGGTGGGGGGAGCTGGGAGGGTGTCCTGGAGTTGGGGGAATGCTCACAGGTTGGGGAGGAGCTGGTCAGTGTGTCCTAGTTACTCTAGGTCTTATAGAACCCACCCATCCTGCTATGGCTCTACAGATTATAGCCCATCAGTGAGTTGTGAAATCCATTGAGTGGGTCGTGATCCACATTTAAAGAAAAAAGAATTGGGTTAGAAAATAGAGTGCATTGCATTTAGTAAAGTGACAAGCTTTATTCCTTCCAGTCACCATCATGTAGTGGCTAAAAACACAGACCCTGGATCCCACATGCTCAGCCGTGCAACCTCGGACATGTTGTTTAAACTTCCATGCCTCAGTTTCCTTACCCGTCCATAGAGAAGACCAACAAGCATGTGGCGGGTCATTGTGAGGAATGAAGAAGGGTTACAGAAGAGCTCAGGGGTCAGGGAAGCACTGCGAGTGTGGGCTCCGTTTCTGTCTCCACTGTGTAAATCTGTTTCTTCTTGGGGAAGGTACAATACCTAGTCATAAACACTTGAAAGCCACTGGATTTGACAATTGGGCACAGGGCCTGTTTATGGCGAGAATTCGGGGCACAGCCTTGGGTGGGGCTGGGGGTGCTACTCTTAGCAAATTAGAAGAGGGGAGCCTGAGAGGAAAAGGCAAAGCCAGAATCCCCAGAAGCAGGTCTCCATGTGCACAGCCCTCTGCGGTTTACACCACGGCTGGCCTCTCTCGCCACAGCAGCCGCTGGGATCATTTTGTGTAAATAGCAAGGAATGCGATTGCTGGATCATGTGATAGCAGTGTGCTCGGTTTTGTAAGAAACCACTAAGCTGCCTTCCCAAGTGTCTGTACCATTTTGCAGTCTCAGCAGCAGTGACCGAAAGTTCCTGTTGCTCTGCATCCTCGTCAGCATTTGGTGTTGTCAGTGTTTTGGATTTTGGCCATTCTGATGGGCTTAGAGTGTTCTCATTATTGTTTTAATTTACACTTTCACAATGGCTTGTGGTTTTGAGCGTCTTTTTGTATTTTTATTTGCAATCCGCATATCTTTGCTATTGAGGTATATGTTCATGTCTACTGCCTACTGTTTAATTGGGTTTTTCATTTTCTTGTTAAGTTATTTGTATGTTTTGGATAACAGTCCTTTATTGGATGTGTCTTTTATAAATATTTTCTCCAAGTCTGTGGCTTATCTTCTCATCCTTTTGACATTGCCTGTCTTGGAGTAGAAGTTTCTGACTTAATGAAGTCTAGCTAATCGATTCTTTCATGGATCATACCTTTGGTGTTATAGCTATAATAAAAAGCCATCACAATACCCAAGGTCATCTAGATTTTCTCCTGTGTATCTTCTAGGAGTTTTATAGTTTTGCAGTTTACATTTAGGTCAATGATCTGTTTGAGCTAATTCTTGTGAAGGGCATAAATTCTGTGTTTAGATTATTAATTGTGTATGTGGGTGTCTGGTTATCACAGCACCATTTGTTAAAAAGACTGTCTCCTTTGTGTTGATTTCACTGTTTTGTCAAAGATTACGTCAGTTGATTATATTTCTGTGGGTCATTCCTGGGCTCTCTAACTTATCAACCTATTTGCCATTCTTTCACTGATACTTTTGTTCCTCTAGCTTTATCGGGAGTCTTGACAGGTAGTGTCAGCCCTCTGACTTTTTTCCCTTCTACTTTCCATTTTTTAGAAGTAGAAATTGAGACACCAAGAAGTTAAGTAACTTGCCCAAAGTTGCAAAGTAAATGGCAGAGTCATTATTTGAACTCAACTCCTTTGACTACAAAGCTCGTGCTTAGGACAGAGGTGTGGGGTTCCGTGTCTCTGCTGAACCACCATGGAGCCCCCTCCCAGTTCCTGTATTGTTAATGCCCGTCTGCATCAGCCTTCCCCATGGACTCGGGGCTCCTCCAGGAAGACCTGAATCTCACCTTTCACTGATGTTTGTGCTCCTACCAGAAGCTGATCCAGAGAAAGTCTTTTGGGAGTGTTTGTTGAATGACTATGTGACCGATTGAGTGAGTGTTGGAAGGAAGGGAGACAGGCTGGTGGGGCGAGGGAGCTTTGATCAGCTCTGACCTGGAAGCATACCTGCTTGCCCCAGAAAGGACCCCTGCACACTCAGTAAAGCTCCCTTCTTCTCCCTTTGCCCCGACATGAGCTCCAGGGCACTTATTCCTTGGCTCATCTCACAACTTTAACTTACTTTAGAGACAGTCAAAGATGCCCATTCTACAATCAGTTCTCCCTCCTAGACTCACTGTGCCTGAAATCCCTCCCTAGACTCCCTCCCAATAAGAGTTTCCTGTAAGCTGGCACAGTTTACCTCGGTCTGACTCAGGATGGGCAGTGTGCTGCTGACCCCACATGGGCCACTTCATTTAAACCTCCCAAAGGCCTCAGGGGGAAGGCGCTCCTATGGGACCATTTTACAGAGGGAGCATATGCACAGTCAGGGTGGGGAACTCGGTTATCTAGTTCAAGAAGCCTGGCAGTTGGGAGGTGTGGGTCCAGTCCTGTATCAGTGACAGACTTGCTTCCAAATGCAAGTGGAGTCAGTGCCCCCGCCCCCAGCCACTGGAGCCACCATGGCCCGCTCCTGATGCCCACGGGACTGGTGGGCCAGAGTTCGAAGCTAGACAATTCTGGTCCAGCCCAGAAGCCACCCAGCGCTGGGTGAAGCTTTTCACAGCTCTGTGAGCCCCGATGGCCACAGTCCCCAAGCAGGGCATGACAGGCTTTGCTCTGCCCCCATGAGCCTGGTTGGCACTGAGTGGGGGTGCTGCCAGGCGAGCCATGCCAGTTGCAGCTAATGCCCAGGGCATCAGGAGTCCCTCTCTTCACCTGT